TTAATTAGGATACTTCATATTTTATTGCTTATTTAGTTTCCTAGGTAGATTAGACTTAGACAAATCTTGTGCCTATATAAAGGCCCCTTCCCCCATGTTATTAACATCATTAAAGAATTAATAGAAATCCAGAACTTTTGTTCTTCCACTTTGCTTTAGTTTTTCACCAAAATTCTATTGCAATTTTATTCATTCCAAGAGGCGCTGTTGTGGCTCGAAGAACACCTATCGATGATTCAAGGTGCGGGTTAGCGGCTTATCGACAATCGAAACACACGATCCACATTATTAGTGCTTTCATAGAGAGGTGTTGATCGTGTGTTTTTTCTTACCCCATTCCCTTTTCTTTTCCTTCCCTTTTTTTTCATTCGATCCAAAAAAAAAAAATCCTTCATTATCATATTCACCTTCAATCACGAGTCCACAAAGCAAAGAGCAAAGAGAGTAAAGGAAAGCCATGGCCAACAAAGAGATGAAGGATAAAACCGATAATCTTGATGTCCAATTTCGTGGCATGAGCGAAGCCATCGATACGTTGGGCGAACGACTCGACAATACCAAGGCAACAGTGCAAAATCTGATGGAAACCGTGAATAGGCGTTTCGATGAGATGACGCGCAACGTGCTCGGGTGCTTCCGCCAGCACGGCAGCAAGAGCACACGCGACCCCATGACCGCGAACGAAACGATGGCGTGGCGCGATAGGAAGAGTATGAACGTGAGGAAGATTTCGACTGACAGTCCCAAGCATCCAACTACCGCGAGCGACGTGTACCCGATAAGCCACACATCACGTTGTCCACATTCACGGGTAGCGATCCGGATGCATGGCTCAACAGGGCGATGCAATTGAGCTCAACGAAACCAACAGCCCAGATCGCGTAAGGTACGCCGCATATTATCTTGATGGTGAGGCTAATGTATGGTGGCAATGGCTTACAAGGGTTTATCGTAAGCGGCAGAAAATTATCACTTGGGATGTTTTTGAAAGAGAGTTGCTTACACGGTTCGGTATGCCCGATTACCACAATTATAATGAGGCTCTCGCCCGAATACGCCAGGCAGGAAATTTGCGTGAATACATTAAGGAGTTCGAACGTCTAGCATGTCGCGTGCGAGATTGGCCCGAGGAAGCATTGGTTGGGACCTTCATAGGCGGACTAAAGTTTGATCTAGCCGCTGAAGTTCGACTCGAGCGGCCAGACACGATGCATGCAGCAATGGAGGTTGCCCGACGACGAGAAGATTATCTAGTCGCCACACGAAGGGGACGGGCGGATGCCCAGTTTACCGATACACGCCGCACGGGCCCGAGTCAAGCAACTGCGAGTGTGAGACCAGCCTTCAACGCACGACCATCGGGGCCGGTAGTCAGGCAGCTGTCGCCTGAGAAAGTCAAGCGGAGACGTGAGAAAGGCCTCTGCTTTAAATGCGAAGAAAAGTTTACCCCAGGTCATCAATGTAAACAGGCCTTTGTAATTGAGGTGGACAACTCCGACGAAGAGGAAGCTGAAGTTGAGGAAGAAGCAGAGCCAACGGGTAACTTAGAAGC